ATATGTAGGCCCATCAACTACAAGAATAAGCACGACACTACCAACCTCATCAATAATGACAACTTCTGGTCACAGTAAGGCACCACCGACAAGTACAGGTATTTTTTAGATAAATGATCGAAAACATTATCTAGCACAGATTCATTTATTGGTGGTAATATTGCGTATATCGTATGTATTTTGTTGTTGGCATATTGAAATTTAAATCCATAGGTCACACCATGTTTTTGAATCCGACAACAGATTCAATTTGTCTCTGTATATCTTGTTACTATTGTTATATTATATGTTAATAGTTATCGAGATTAGGCTCCATATTATAATACAATAACTTTATGAATCATGGATGACGTCTCCCTAGTGCACTTACAGGCCTACTTAATAATATTTATAACAACATTTAAATAGCATTTAAAAAAACGAATTTTGCTAGTGTTGTGTTGTTTCCTTTATTGCATTTTAGAGCCACTAACCACGATACCAACACTATCAGGAACTACGACGGATATATCAACAACATCCGGGACCCCAACACCTACTACAGAATGTAAGTTTGAAAAAGAGTATTGTTTCACTGAAAATAATACAGATGTTTATGTAAGCATAAAATAAACAATGAGCAGAAATGCATTATTTACATTTTTGATAAATTTGTAGGACATGTTGGGGTATATTAAATAGTAAATTAAAATTAAAATACAAAAGGCAACAGTACTGGTACTGGTATTGTTATGGGCATTTAGTAATGCGCCATTTTCTTGCGCTTATAAAGCGGGCGTAAACAAAGTCTGATTTATTTAATCTAAATTCATAATTTAACTTATTTCTGATCTGAATAGCTCCCTGCGATGGCTGCTGGAGTGAGTGGATAGACACGTGGAAGCCCAGTCCTACAAATGGTGGTGATTTTGAGATTTTGGAAAAAATCACGATAGATTATCCAGTCTGCAGAATGCCCTATGAAATTGAATGTAGAGAAAAAAACTTCAAAACTCCATACCAAAGTACTGGTCAACGCGTAACCTGCAAGACTAATGAAGGATTGATGTGTCTGAATAGTGATAATTTTGGAGTTTGCTACAACTATGAAATTAGATTGTGTTGTCCTTGTAATTTGACCACAATTCCACCAACGACGTCAACAGTGCAGCCAACAACTACACTAACGGTTACCACAACTGAAGAACCAACTACTACGCTCACGTCAACAGTGCAGCCAACAACTACATTAACGGTTACCACAACTGAAGAACCAACTACTACGCTCATGTCAACAGTGCAGCCAACAACTACACCAACATTTACCACAACCGAAGAACCAACTACTACGCTGACGTCAACAGTGCAACCAACCACTACACCAACAATAATCACATCTAAAGAACCAACTACTACGCTCACGTCAACAGTCCAGCCAACAACTACATTAACGGTTACCACAACTGAAGAACCAACTACTACGCTCATGTCAACAGTGCAGCCAACAACTACACCAACATTTATCACAACTGAAAAACCAACTACTACGCTTACGTCAACTTCGAATACAAGCTACTCTTGCTAATGCAACCTTCATTTTAGGGCTTCCCTTTCCCTTTTAATTACCTCTTAGTTATGACGAAAGTGTTTGCAATGTTTATGCGGTCTCTTTTGAAGCTTTCTTCTGAATTGAATTGAGAATCGTAAACGACAATTACAATCCAACAAGCAAAAGTCCAGTACAGGATACCCTGACCTGTCTCTTATACACATCTAGATGTGTATAAGAGACAGCCCCACACACATCAATACGGTAAATCATACGGTAGTATGCTGCGTAGCACTGAACATATATCAATAAAGTATACACAAATATAATAGATTATACATTTTAATACATTATAATATATATATATATATATTATTTATATATACATATATATATATTATATAATATATAAATATATTAAAAATGTATGTCTATATATATATATATATGTTATATATATATATTTATATATATGCGTATATAATGAAGTATTGAATGGTTGCATTTTTATGATGATAGTAATATATAATACTATTATATATATTTATTTATTTAAATTTATTAAATAAAATTATTTTTATGTCCACAATTTAAAAACATAAAAAAACCAATTTGAAATATATATTTAATTTTTCCATGGATTTTAGGCCCATCAACTACAAGAATAAGCACGACACTACCAACCCCATCAATAATGACAACTTCTGGGCACAGTACGGCACCACCGACAAGTGCAGGTATTTTTTAGATAAATGATCGAAAACATTATCAAGCACAGATTCATTTATTGGTGGTAATATTGTGTATATCGTATGTATTTTGTTGTTGGCATATTGAAATTTAAATCCATAGGTCACACCATGTTTTTGAATCCGACAACAGATTCAATTTGTCTCTGTATATCTCGTTACTATTGTTATATTATATGTTAATAGTTATCGAGATTAGGCTCCATATTATAATACAATAACTTTATGAATCATGGAAGACGTCTCCCTAGTGCACTTACAGGCCTACTTAATAATATTTATAACAACATTTAAATAGCATTTAAAAAAACGAATTTTGCTAGTGTTGTGTTGTTTCCTTCATTGCATTTTAGAGCCACTAACCACGATACCAACACTATCAGGAAATAAGACGGATATATCAACAACACCAACATCCGGGACCCCAACACCTACTACAGAATGTAAGTTTGAAAAAGAGTATTGTTTCACTGAAAATAATACAGATGTTTATGTAAGCATAAAATAAACAATGAGCAGAAATGCACTATTTTCATTTATGATAAATTTGTAGGACATGTTGGGGTATATTAAATAGTAAATTAAAATTAAAATACAAAAGGCAACAGTACTGGTACTGGTATTGGTATGGACATTTAGTAATGTGCCATTTTCTTGCGCTTATAAAGCGCGCGTAAACAAAGTCTGATTTATTTAATCTAAATTCATAATTTAACTTATTTCTGATTTGTCCAACAGTCCAGCCAACAACTACACCAACAATTACCACAACCGAAGAACCAACTACTACGCTGACGTCAACAGTGCAGCCAACAACTACACCAACAGTTGCCACAACGGAAATAAAAACTACTACACTTACAACGACAGAAGGGCCACGTGAACCATTTAAATGCGAATTTGACTGCGACTTTTTTAATTCCTTTGATGGAAATAGTTTTTACTTTAAAGTTTGTGATGACATCATTACAAAAACAGTTGGAGATGTAGATCCATTTGAAGTGATAGGTATTTTTACATTACTTTGATGTAAAATAAATACGATATGAACACTTATTACTTATTTAAACTGATTAAACTTTGAACTACTTTGTTATTACACAAATATATAATATATTATATGTATTACTATGTATATGATATATGTCTATTATATATGTATACACTTTGTATTGTTTTCATTAGTTCGTCGACCGCTGGGTGATAGAAATTCCTGTTGCCTCTGTGACTTTGAACTGGAAGTGAATATGGATCGGTATTCAATAGTCGTCTATACTGTCGATAGTCACGTTTTAAGTGTGAATTCTATACCTGTCAGTCTCGGTCAGCTTCAAGCATTTAGTCAGACTATAAAAGCGGAATCCGGAATGACTATAAAAAAGGTTGTTTTAATTGTTTTAAATTATATTTTATTACGTGCTGATATATATATATATATATATATATATATATTTATATATGTATATATATATATATGTATGTATATGTGTATATATATGTATATATATTACCAGTTTCTACCTTCAAAATGTCTGTACATGGGTAGGCTTATGTATTATATGTATAACTGCTAAAACGTTATATCGTGTGCTTACTCGAATGTTTAACAAGAATTAATTCTTTTTAGACTGGAAAGACTGTTGTGATCGAGTCTGATATTGGTATCACTATAAAGTGGAAAGATAACAGACTACTGCATATATACGTAGCTAGAGAACTTGAGGGTGCACTAAATGGACTGTGTAGTATACCTAACGACGATCCAGAAGATGATGTTCCACCCAGCACTTTTCAGCCAGCTTGCAATTGCAGCGATTCTGAATGTCGTAACTGTTCTACAATTTACCCTAACTTACCAAATATATGCGACCGTCTATGGTAAATATATTTTAATCCCACATGCTCAGGATTATTTAAATACCATTCACATATTACCATAGTATTGTAACAAAGATTTTTTTAATTGCGCGCTTTTGATCATTCTCTACAAAATTATAAATACCCCAATGAACTTCAATAGCATAACTAGACATTATAGTACATGAAGCTGATGTAAGCTATCGGATTAAAGCCTCCATCAGTTGCTGATTTATATCAATATGATGGACCTATAAGTTATTGAAACAAAAATTGGGTATGTCAAGTGCGTACATTCTTAAGTACATATGTTTTTGTGTGTGTGGTTTAATGAGGGAGTTGAGGACTTATCACTCTTTATAAATACTTTTTGAACAGCATTGTAAAGATATTTATTTGCAAGGTCTCATGTGTCTGGATTACTTAAATCTAAAGAGTTTTTATTTTGCTAAAAAATATTTGAGCAGCATAACTATTTTCATATCATTGCGTTTCACTTATTAGAACTGGATCAAACTTTCTAAGTGCTAACTCTTTTAGAAAGTAGATTTTATTTTATATTTTTTATTTTATTTAATTTCCAGGTAAACTAATTACACAAACAGAAACAAAGACAAATGAAAGCTCTAGCTAAAACTTAAACAGTACCCCGGGGATTTACCATAGGTGTAAACCACTATCAGAATGGCTCTCCATTACTGCAGTTAATAAAACTAGCACACATACAATAACAAAAATTTTAATTTAAAATAATTTAGGTTAAAATATTACGAAATATAAAATGACTAATTACAAGATTTTAAAAATTTGATATACAAAATGATTAAAAGCCAATAATTAAACAATTCAAATTGCACGAATAGAAGATTGAAATACAGTGCTAAAACTTCTTCGATTAGTTAAAGTTAGATCTCCCATAAAAGAGGAAAAATAATTAAAAAAAGAATAATAAATGAATTAGTTCAAGCAAATGCTTAAATACTACAGAATCATTATACCTAGAGTTGAAATTTATAAAATCATGAATATTAAAATCAATTTCACCAAAAAGGCTCTTAACAATAATAAAATACTATACTAAGGTACTTTAATGTCTGTTCCATTGTTGGTAACTGCAACTGCTGAAGTTGCTGCTCAAATTCCCCTTCAGCAAAAACCTTCTGGTACTCCGGAGAGGTTTTTATTAATAGGTAGTTTTCGCCACACGACGTTAACCTTAACTTTAATTTATATTTAATACAAATTGTAAAAAATATACATTGTAAACAACAAACAACCACTATAGACGTTAAAACTTAGTTATGGATGCGTGATTGTCTGCCAACCTTGATAAACTTATAAAATGTTACATTGAAACTATTTACTACTAAATTAAGTTTATCTTTTATTTACTCTTTCATTCGAAAATTGAGGCGATAAGATTTTTTTCCATTTCAAAAATAACTAAACTATTATAACTACTATTCATTTTTTAGGGATCTTGAATTTTCTCATTGTGAACAGTTTGTGGATATCAGCAAATATGTAGACATGTGTAAAGAAAATATTTGCGATTGTGTTGAGAAAGCATACATGAAAAATGAAGATCTGGTTTTCGATGACGTAAACAATACATGTGGTTGTGAAATATTTGAAAACTTCATATACGAATGTAACAATCACCCAGAAAATCCTACTTGTTTTGAATGGCGAACTCCGGAACGTTGTCGTAAGATTGTTTTCCTTACATCCCGTCATTATCATATAACATCTATCTTTAAAAATCTACAATGGCTCCCTATTAAATAACGTTACTTTTGTTAACTGTTGAGTCACTTAGCTTTAATTAACCTGTCAACTATGTTCCCTTTTGTAATCTTCGTTCCTCCTCTAAATCCTGACGAACATAAGTAGCGGTCGACGTGACTTTTCTTTCAAGTCTCGTGTACATGAACTTAAAGCACATAAAGCAGTGCAACATTCTCTTATAATTGTTTCTATCTTGAACTGCTTGTTTAATAATGTACTGGCAAATTAATATGTATTCGAAGTCCGAATTTATTTGGTTTGCATTTAAGCTGGCAATGTATGTCCCATTGGCCAAATATGGAAGGAATGCGGCAGTACCTGTGAGTGGACATGTGATGTGTTTGGAAATGAAGTGGAGGATTGCAAAACAGGTACTTCACCTGGATGCTACTGCCCGCCAGGCAAAGTGAAGCTTGGAGACGAATGTGTAGATAGAGAAGAATGCAAAGATTGTAAGTGCAGTTAAACTTGTTGACCAACCATAAAACTGAAAACTAATGTTCTATTTTAAATTTTTGTAATCTAATATGCCAAAAGTACTAGTTTCGGCAATAATCATTGTTTAATGTTTTGTTAGTTTGTTTATCTAACTGTATTTATATTTACGGTACACAAACTAAATTTACTAAAACTAGATAAATTTGACCTTTGAGACAGGAAGACGTAAATGTATAGAGAAACGGGAAAGTAATGAATTGTCATCAAATAATTGAACTTGCCAATAACCTGACACGTCTCATTCACTCCCTAAAACACGAGGTTGTTATGACACTGTATTTTATGCAATTAGCTAACAATGAGAAGAGAAGCTTTAGGAGGCGCATACAAATTTATATCCTTTGAGCATTAAGTTGTCAATGTTAGGTTTTAGATATTTAACTGAGAAAATAGACAACCAAAACAGTTGAAGGTAATTCTTCTATTTGTTTCCGTTAAGGTACCTGTGTTGGTTATGGGGATCCACATTACTATACATTTGACATGTTCTACTACCCCTTCCAAGGAGAGTGCACCTATGTACTGTCACGTGACTCATCGTCAAATAGGGACTATGAAATATACGCGTCAAATGAGATTTGCATAAACGCACCAACTACTACCTGTACATACGAGATGACAGTGTTCTATAATAATCACAGTGTTGCTGTAACTCGTGAGAGAAAGGTAACATGAAAAAGCTAGGTAAGCCTAGAGGATGGCAAGTGGAAAGGAAGATATGTCTTTTCTTCGAGAATTAAACATGATTTTTAATCACAATGGATATCAACGAGAGTGACCAAATAGTTCTTAATTCAAGTAACTCTATCCATTTTTAAGGAAATTATGGTGTCCATACACATTTAGAATAACGACATGATGATGATGATAATGATAATAATTCATAACAGTATTAATTGAATGGTGGTTATTACAATGATGCTAATAATGCAAATGTGATGTGTTTATGTACATGGTGCAGCTGATGGTAATAATAATAATAATAATAATAATAATAATAATTATTATTATTATTATTATTAGTATTATTATTAGTATAATTATTATTATTATATTTGTTATTGGGATTTTTTTTTTACTAGATCTCTGTAGATGGGGATGATTGGATAATAGTGCCGCCTAAATATACAGGATATGGATTCGTAGTAGAACCAAAAGGTGTCTTCCAAATCTATGTGAGCATTCCAGCTATCAACCTTGAGTTAATGTACGACTATATCAGTGATTCCTTTATACTGACTGTGCCTTCGAGTCGATACTTCAACCAGACAGAGGGATTGTGTGGTAGGTGCAACACAAGAAACAATGATTCATCGTAACTTATAAATATCGGTGTATATTAAATTAATCATCACATTCACCTGATGAACAACTGGGAGTGATCGAAATCTCGTGCAATAATCTATTTTGTTAGTCTGCAAATGCTGTTTGTCTTTAATTTACTGATTAAATTAGTATAAATTCTCTCAGTGATAACGTCACATTGGCCATGGTTTGTTAATTTATAGAATAATTAACTGTGTAACGATTTATGATTTATCAAAAGGTCAATTCATACTGATTTCTTCTGCATTAATAATAATGGTTAGGCAGTCTATGATACGATGTGCATGGTTATGGAATGACGGTCTAGTGCTAAACATGTGTACCTTAAAAATGATAAGGGCCTACTGCTCAAGTGGAAGCAGATACGAATACTGCCCCCCCCCCCCTCCATGGCAAAAGGGCATAACTGACATTTTTGGCGAAAATGAGTTATATAGCCTAGTGGGGTCAGTACATCATGTTACACATGTTGACACAAAAACAAATTGTAAAAAAGTGTCCCCCGGGCTAGATATGGGCATGGCAAAGGGCATAACTAAACAATTTTCAGTAAATTCCCAAGGCAAAAGGACATAACTGCAAAGATAGGCTGTGATACGCTGAAGCGTGACGTTCTTTCAACAGCCAACCAATCAGAAGAGAGCTTTCTCCCTGGTTATAATGAAGTTTCATTATTTTTATTATTCTTACTGTTTGATGACATTATTAATGTCGAAATATTGAATCCCAACACGATAGCGTGTATTTCAATACTTGGAGTATGTATTATACTTTCTTATCTGAGATTAATCAGTGGAACTTTCGCTTACTGTTTGTGTACTCACAATTTGTAAATAGAAATTGGTTAAATATTATGATTCTTGACAGTAGCGTATGTCTAGTTAATGTTAGGCAAACATGATAAGTCTAGTTAATTTATGCAATAATCTTGCCTTACTTTGAATGGCAACAGTTTAATACCATGGAAATAAACTATGGTAAAATAGTAACTCTTTTAATAAAATAATTAACCATATCAGAATAACAATTCACATTTTATCTAGAAATAACAGTGGCAAAGAGAGACAACTAAAACGATTATTTAGCAAATAACTATGACAAAGAGGCACAACCACAACATTTATTTATAGCAAATGGCATGACAAAAAGGTATAACTGCACAGTTTACTCGAATCAACTGTGTTCACTAACCAAACAACAACTTACTTTTACATCTAAATCTAAATATATAATACATTTTCTAAATATTTTATTAGAATATAAAAAAAAAAACAACTAATATTCGTAAACCTAATCATTTTATTATTACTTGAATTTGGATCATAGAGAAGAATTGCTAATAATTCTATTTCATATACACATGCATCATTTACGCAGTGACGTAACGCCTATGCGCTCTTGTGCGAGGCCCCAGGCCCCTGGGGGTCCATAAGGCCCCCTACCCACAGGGTCCTCGATCTAGCACCTTGAGCCAATAATTATAAGCCAATAATGTTGATATATAACAGCATACCAATGTTTAATTCATTTTCTTGTTTGTATACTTGGTTTGTAATTTTAGTATTTATTATTTAATGCGTTTTTTTTTGTATTATTGTACATTTATTTGATAGTTTATACATGACTAACATGTGAAATTATATATTGAATGTTATTTTTGAATAATCTGACTTAAAATTGCATTGAAAGGAACTAAACTGTGTACTTATATCCTTTTGCCAAAGTTTGTCAACATGTTTTGAATCAGAAAACCCACGGCAAAAGGGCATAACTGACATTTGGAGCGCAAAAATCAATATTTATAGAAAAAATGTGTGCTACACTTGAAGAGACATTATTTGTCTATTTGAATACATTAACCATGAAATCAAATATTAAATCACATTTTAAGGTTAAATAAAATACACGTTTTGCTTAATATCTCCAAAACAGCAAATTATCAGTTATGCCCTTTTGCCATGGGAGGGCAGTGTCTTGGTATATGACTGTGTATCCATTGACCATCATCATTATTAGACCTCATCATTCTACAATTAATAACTCTATCCCAAGATAATTTACACAACCGTTTAGTAATATTTGTATATTTTTCCCAATAGGAATCTGTAATAAAGATCCATCGGATGATTTGACAATGCCGAATGGCACAATTACCAACAACACCGACGAGTTTGGATTTAGCTGGCTTGTTGATCGGAACTGCAATAATTCTACTAACGAAACTTGTACAGTTGGTGATGAGCAACCGGAAATTTGTGATGTACTATATCGGCCGCCATTTTTAAATTGTAGCATTTTTGTAGAAACTGGTCCATTTTATAACGCATGTGTTTTTGACACCGTGTGTGGAGAGGGGCCATGTGATACACTGGACACTTATGCTAGACTGTGCAACGAAAAAGGAGGGTTATGCATCGAATGGCGAGAAGAAGTGGATATATGCCGTAAGATATAGTCTTTGATAATGCTCATACTCACGGCTATATAGTAGTTGTGTTTTGGAAATGGAAGAAAAAATAATTTATATATGTCAAAACATTGCAATATTACTTTGCTATATGAATGGTTCATAATTCACTTTTTACCAAATTCAGTCTCTCTGCTAATTACCATCTTCATATCATTTTGAAAAACAAATGTTAACATTTTGGTGCTTGTTGGGTTGGATTAGTTTCTACAATAGAGAGGCAAGGTATCTTAACTAGAAAAGTAGGAGCTGATTTTTAAACATGTTTGTGTGGAAAATGGCATCCAACTAACCATAAAATAATTATTCCTAAATCAGATTTTCTTTTTATCTAGCATATCCCGAATGCGATGAATTAATGGAATACAAGGCGTGTCATGAAGGTTGTCAGGTGTTGGGATGCGATGAATGGCTAGAACGAGGTGGTGAGCAATTTACGTGTAAAAAGGTAGAGCTAGATGGTTGCTATTGTCCAGATGGACTCATCATGAACAGCACAGGACACTGTATCAGCCCGGAAATTTGCTGTAAGTAGGTCTACAACATGGTATGCCTTTTGTCTACCACAGAGCACATTAGTCCACCTGCTATAATTCTATGATAAGTAGTATATAATACTATTTGCTAATTCAACTAAATAGGTTAATACTGAGGCGTAACAACACCATTTTCACCACATTGAAATAAAATATGTCCTCTAAACTTTCACTAATGGTTTTTACCCTGATATAATGGTGATCATAGCAATTGCTTTAATTCAAAATAATGATGTTTTATATTTACTACTCTCACGTCAACAGTGCAGCCAACAACTACACCAACAGTGACAACATCTGAAGGACCAACTACTACGCTCACGTCAACAGTGCAACCAACCACTACACCAACAATAATCACATCTAAAGAACCAACTACTACGCTCACGTCAACAGTGCAGCCAACAACTACATTAACGGTTACCACAACTGAAGAACCAACTACTACGCTCATGTCAACAGTGCAGCCAACAACTACACCAACAATTACCACAACTGAAGGACCAACTACTACACTGATGTCAACAGTGCAGCCAACAACTACACTAACAATAATCACATCTAAAGAACCAACTACTACGCTCACGTCAACAGTCCAGCCAACAACTACACCAACAATTACCACAACCGAAGAACCAACTACTACGCTGACGTCAACAGTGCAGCCAACAACTACACCAACAGTTGCCACAACGGAAATTAAAACTACTACACTTACAACGACAGAAGGGCCACGTGAACCATTTACATGCGAATTTGACTGCGACTTTTTTAATTCCTTTGATGGAAATAGTTTTTACTTTAAAGTTTGTGATGACATCATTACAAAAACAGTTGGAGATGTAGATCCATTTGAAGTGATAGGTATTTTTACATTACTTTGATGTAAAATAAATACGATATGAACACTTATTACATATTTAAACTTATTAAACTTTGAACTACTTTGTTATTACACAAATATATTATATATTATATGTATTACTATGTATATGACATATGTCTATTATATATGTATAACACTTTGTACTGTTTTCATTAGTTCGTCGACTGCTGGGTGATAGAGATTCCTGTTGCCTTTGTGACTTTGAACTGGAAGTGAATATGGATCGGTATTCAATAGTCGTCTATACTGTCGATAGTCACGTTTTAAGTGTAAATTCTACACCTGTCAGTCTCGGTCAGCTTCAAGCATTTAGTCAGACTTTAAAAGCGGAATCCGGAATGACTATAAAAATGGTTGTTTTATTTGTTTTAAATTATATTTTATTACGTACTGATATATATATATATATATATATATATATTTATATATGTATATATATATATATGTATGTATATGTGTATATATATGTATATATATTACCAGTTTTTCTACCTTCAAAATGTCTGTACTTGGGTAGGCCTATATAATTATTATACTGTATTATAATATGTATAACTGCTAAAACGGTATATCGTGTGCTTAATTGAATGTTTAACAAGAATTTATTCTTTTTAGACTGGCAAGACTGTTGTGATGGAGTCTGATATTGGTATCACTATAAAGTGGAAAGATAACAGACTACTGCATATAAACGTAGCTAGAGAACTTGAGGGTGCACTAAATGGACTGTGTGGTATACCTAACGACGATCCAGAAGATGATGTTCCACCCAGCATTTTTCAGCCAGCTTGCAATTGCAGCAATTCTGAATGTAGTAACTGTTCTACAATTTACCCTAACTTACCAAATATATGCGACAGTCTATGGTAAATATATTTTAATCCCACATGCTCAGAATTATTTAAATACCATTCACATATTACCATAGAATTGTGACAAAGATTTTTTTTAATTGCGAGCTTTTAATCATTCTCTACAAAATTATAAATACTCCCATAAACTTTAATAGCATAACTAGACATTATAGTACATGAAGCTGATGTAAGCTATCGGATTAAAGCCTCCATCAGTTCCTGATTTATATAAATATGATGGACCTATAAAATATTGAAACAAAAATTGGGTATGTCAAGTGCGTACATTCTTAAGTACATATGTTTTTTTTGTGTGTGGTTTAATGAGGGAGTTGAGGACTTATCACTCTTTATAAATACTTTTTGAACAGCATTGTAAAGATATTTATTTGCAAGGTCTCAGGTGTCTGGATTACTTAAATCTAAAGAGTTTTTATTTTACTAAAAAATATTTGAGCAGCATAACTATTTTCATATCATTTCACGATGCGTTTCACTTGTTAGAACTAGATCTAGCTTTCTAAATGCTAACTCTTTTAGAAAGTAGATTTTTTATTTTTTATTTTCTATTTTATTCTATTTACAGGTAAACTAATTACACAAAAAGAAACAAAGACAAATGAAAGCTCTAGCTGAAAAATAAACAATAACCCGGGGATTACCATAGGTGTAAACCACTATCAGAGTGGCTCTCCATTACTGCAGTTAATCAAACTAGCACACATACAATAACAAAAATTTAAATTTAAAATAATTTAGGTTAAAATATTACGAAATATAAAATGACTAATTACAAGATTTTAAAAATTTGATATACAAAATGATTAAAAGCCAATAATTAAACAATTCAAATTGCACGAATAGAAGATTGAAATACAGTGCTAAAACTTCTTCGATTAGTTAAAGTTAGGTCTCCCATAAAAGAGGAAAAATAATTTAAAAAGCAATTACTACAGAATTATTATACCTAGAGCTGAAATTTATAAAATCATGAATATTAAAATCAATTTCACTAAAAAGGCTCTTAACAATAATAAAATACTATACTAAGGTACTTCAGTGTCTGTTCCATTGTTGGTAACTGCAACTGCTGAAGTTGCTGCTCAAATTCCCCTTTAGCAAAAACCTTCTGGTACTCTGGAGAGGTTTTTATTAATAGGTAGTTTTCGCCACGCGACGTTAACCTTAACTTTAATTTATATTTAATACAAATTGTAAAAAATATACATTGTAAACAACAAACAACCACTCTAGACGATAAAACTTAGTTATGGATGCGTGATTGTCTGCCGAACCTTGGTAAACTTATAAAATGTTACATTGAAACTATTTACTACTGAATTAAGTTTATCTTTTATTTACTCTTTCATTCGAATATTGAGGCGATAAGATTTTTTTTCATGGTAAAATAACTAAACTATTATAACTATTATTCATTTTTTAGGGAGCCTGTATTTTCTCGTTGTGAACAGTTTGTGAATATCAGCAAATATGTAGACATGTGTGAAGAACATATTTGCGATTGTGTTGAGAAAGCATACATGAAAGATGAAGATCTGGTTTTCGATGACATAACAAATACATGTGCTTGTGAAATATTTGAAAACTTCATGTACGAATGTAACAATCACCCAGAAAATCCTACTTGTTTTGAATGGCGAACTCCGGAACTTTGTTGTAAGATTTTTCCCTTACATCCTGTCATTATCATATAACATCTATCTTTAAAAATCTACAATGGCTCCCTATTAAATAACGTTACTTTTGTTAACTGTTGAGTCACTTAGCTTTAATTAACCTGTTTATTTACTAAGTCAACTATGTTCCCTTTTGTAATCTTCGTTTCTCATCTAAATCCTGACGAACATAAATAGCGGTCGACGTGACTTTTCTTTCTAGTCTCGTGTACACGAACTTAAAGCACATAAAGCAGTGCAACATTCTCTTATAATTGTTTCTATCTTGAACTGCTTGTTTAATAATGTACTGGCAAATTAATATGTATTCGAAGTCCGAATTCATTTGGTTTGCATTTAAGCTGGCAATGTATGTCCCATTGACCAAATATGGAAGGAATGCGGCAGTACCTGTGAGTGGACATGTGATGAGAGGGGAAATCAAGTGGAGGATTGCAATACAGGTAGTTCACCTGGATGCTACTGTCCGTCAGACAAAGTGAAGCTTGGAGACGAATGTGTAGATAGAGAAGAATGCAAAGATTGTAAGTGCAGTTAAACTTGTTGACCAACCATAAAACTGAAAACTAATGTTCTATTTTCAATTTTTGTAATCTAATATGCCAAAAGTACTAGTTTGGGCAATAATCATTGTTTAATGTTTTGTTAGTTTGTTTATCTAACTGTATTTATATTTACGGTACACAAACTAAATTTACTAAAACTAGATAAATTTGATCTTTGAGACAGGAAGACGTAAATGTATAGAGAAACGGGAAAGTAATGAATTGTCATCAAATAATTGAACTTGCCAATAACCTGACACGTCTCATTCACTCCCTAAAACACGAGGTTGTTATGACACTGTATTTTATGCAATTAGCTAACAATGAGAAGAGAAGCTTTAGGAGGCGCATACAAATTTATATCCTTTGAGCATTAAGTTGTCAATGTTAGGTTTTAGATATTTAACTGAGAAAATAGACAACCAAAACAGTTGAAGGTAATTCTTCTATTTGTTTCCTTTAAGGTACCTGTGTTGGTTATGGGGATCCACATTACTATACATTTGACATGTTCTACTATCCCTTCCAAGGAGAGTGCACATATGTACTGTCACGTGACTCATCATCAAATAGGGACTATGAAATATACGCATCAAATGAGATTTGCATAAACGCACCAAATACTACCTGTACATACGAGATGACAGTGTTCTATAATAATCACAGTGTTGCTGTAACTCGTGAGAGAAAGGTAACATGAAAAAGCTAGGTAAGCCTAGAGGGTGGCAAGTGGAAAGGAAGATATGTCTTTTCTTCGAGAATTAAACATGATTTTTAATCACAATGGATATCAACGAGAGTGACCAAATAGTTCTTAATTCAAGTAACTCTATTCATTTTTAAGGAAATTACGGTGTCGATACACATTTAGAATAACGACATGATGATGATGATAATGATAATAATTCATAACAGTATTAATTGAATGGTGGTTATTACAATGATGCTAATAATGCAAATGTGATGTGTTTATGTACATGGTGCAGCTGCTGTCTCTTATACACATCTAGATGTGTATAAGAGACAGAGTAGTAGTAGTAGTAGTAGTAGTAGTAGTAGTAGTAGTAGTAGTAGTAGTAGTAGTAGTAGTAGTAGTAGTAGTAGTAGTAGTAGTAGTAGTAGTAGTAGTAGTATTAGTATTAGTATTAGTATTAGTATTAGTATTAGTATTAGTATTAGTATTAGTATTATTATATTTGTTATTGGGATTTTTTTTACTAGATCTCTGTAGATGGGGATAATTGGATAATAGTGCCTCCTAAATATACAGGATATGGATTCGTAGTAGAACCAAAAGGTGTCTTCCAAATCTATGTGAGCATTCCAGCTATCAACCTTGAGTTAATGTACGACTATATCAGTGATTCCTTTATACTGACTGTGCCTTCGAGTCGATACTTCAACCAGACAGAGGGATTGTGTGGTAGGTGCAACACAAGAAACAATGGTTCATCGTAACTGATAAATATCGGTGTATATTAAATTAATCATCACATTCACCTGATGAACAACAGGGCGTGATCGAAAGCTCGTGCAATAATCTATTTTGTTAGTCTGCAAATGCTGTTTGTCTTTAATTTACTGATTAAATTAGTATAAATTCTCTCAGTGATAACGTCACATTGGCCATGGTTTGTTAATTTATAGAATAATTAGGGACTAACTGTGTAACGATTTATCAAACGGTCAATTCATACTGATTTCTTCTGCATTAATAATAATGGTTAGGTAGCCTATGATAGGATGTGCATGGTTATGGAATGACGGTCTAGTGCTAAACATGTGTACCCTAAAAATGATAAGGGCCTACTGCTCAAGTGGAAGCAGATACGAATACATGTCTTGGTTTATGACTGTGTATCCATTGACCATCATCATTATTAGACTTCATCATTCTACAATTAATAACTCTATCCCAATATAATTTACACAACCGTTTACTAATATTTGTATATTTTTCCTATAGGAATCTGTAATAAAGATTCATCGGATGATTTGACAATGCCGAATGGCACATTGACCAACAACACCGACGAGTTTGGATTTAGCTGGCTTGTTGATCGGAACTGCACTAATCCTACTAGCAAAACTTGTACAGTTGGTGATGAGCAACCGGAAATTTGTGATGTACTATATCGGCCGCCATTTTCAAATTGTAGCATTTTTGTAGAAACTAGTCCATTCTATAACGCATGTGTTTTTGACACCGTGTGTGGAGGAGGGCCATGTGATACACTGGATACCTATGCTAGACTGTGCAACGAACAAGGAGGGTTATGCATCGAATGGCGAGAAGAAGTGGATATATGTCGTAAGATATAGTCTTTGATAATGCTCATACTCACGGCTATATAGTAGTTGTGTTTTGAAAATGGAAGAAAAAATAATTTATATATTTCATTGCAATATCATTACTTTGCTATATGAATGGTTCATAATTCACTATTGACCAAATTCAGTCTCTCTGCTAATTACCATCTTCATATCATTTTGAAAAACAAATGCTAACCTTTTGGTGCTTGTTGGATTAGTTTCTACAATAGAGAGACAAGGTATCTTAACTAGAAAAGTAGGAGCTGATTTTTAAACATGTTTGTGTTGAAAATGGCATCTAACTAACCATAAAATAATTATTCCTAAATCAGATTTTCTTTTTATCTAGCATATCCCGAATGTGATGAATTAATGGAATACAAGGCGTGTCATGAAGGTTGTCAGGTGTTGGGATGCGATGAATGGCTAGAACGAGGTGGTGAGCAAGTCACGTGCACAAAATTAGAGCTAGATGGTTGCTATTGTCCAGATGGACTCATCATGAACAGCACAGGACACTGTATCAGCCCGGAAATTTGCTGTAAGTAGGTCTACAACATGGTATGCCTTTTGTCTACCACAGAGCACATTAGTCCACCTGCTATAATTCTATGATAAGTAGTATGTAATACTATTTGCTAATTCAACCAAATAGGTTAATACTGAGGTGTAACAGCACCACATTGAAATCAAATATGTCCCCTAAACTTTCACTAATGGTTTTTACCCTGATATAATGGTGATCATAGCAATTCAAAATAATGATGTTTTATATTTATCATCCAGCATTTTGTGAATATGATGGCAAAAAGTACGAGACGGATGATAGTTGGCGGATCAACGAATGTGAAACAGGAAGATGCGTTAACAGAACTGTTGTTATAAGTACCACAGTATGCCCAACGCCACCTTCATGTCAATCAGACGAGCGGCTGGTATCTACGGTTGTCGACGGAGATTGCTGTTTGGAATATGAATGTGGTAAGACAAATGATAGGTGTGATAGGAACGAATTTTGAGATAATGAATATTATAGAATGAGGGATTGAAAGAATGTGTGCGGTGTGAATGATGAGTGTGGAAGTGAGTGGTAAACTAGCTGAGAATGACGAAAGAATGAATTAACTAATGAAGTATGAGTGCGATGAGTAAATCACAGGGCATTATCACTAATGTGGTCTAATGTAATCTAATCCATTTTATGCAAATGGAAATATCTTAATTCAATACTTCAGTTGGTAATTGAAGTATTCATTATGGAAAGTATTTAGCCCTATCTAATGAACTTTTAGTTTGAATATTCGCTTTCAAATCCGTGATGTCGTTATTCATTGAATATTGCTCTGCTAAGAAGCGTGCTTAATAACACTGTTGATTTTTTAGTCTGTAACTGTGCAGCTACTATAACACCAACGTGTCCATTTGGTTATGAAGAATCAATCACCCTCTCTGAAACACATTGTGGATGCCCACTTGCCACTTGTGGTAAGTAAGAAATATCATTATAAAGGGAGAGTGCAGACAAAATTTTTATAACATTTTAGAAAACGATCATATTTAAATAGTATTTCTCGTTAGATTTCGTATACTAAGGAACATGTTCGGTTTCAAGCTCCTTTTCTCAGAGGAACCGGTGTTCGAACTGCTTATAAACAAAGTGTCAGAATGAGACTACTATAGAAAACGGTAGAAAACGGTGTTTTTTTCAGTTGTAAGGTGAGATATCAGTGACGGTGATATCCAGCGGATTGGGGCACACGAGGAACCCTTGTCGAGAAACCATGAACCCTGTGACAGAGACGCCTAATTATTTTGTCCGGAAACACTGCCTTGAAAGAACATTTTCTATTCTTAAAATTTGCTCACCCCAGTCCCAACTATGATCGAGCTGAGTTGGGTATACCCATGGCGAAAACTTTGGATATAGTATAATAGTAGTAGGAGTATCTTTATGACCGCCACTGAAAAAATTCCGGTCTTCACAATACAGTATTTGTATTTTCCAAAATACTTGACAAGTAACTCGATATTTGACCATAAACTGACAAATACAAAAATAATTGAAGTCAAGTATCATAATCACTACAACTTCATTTATTATCATATTTATTAACTAATGGCTGTCTTTATTCAATAGTTCCAAGAGAAGTCTGCTTGTACAATTCAACCATTATATTTGAGGTATGCTTACGTCAGTCATAAAATCTATCAAGTTGAATTAACGATACAGCATACTGTCTGTGTTAAGCTACTATACTTCAATAATAATTTTTAATATTTAAATTGATGATAATAAAACATTATGGGGAAATATTTTCCTCGGCATAGACTCATTATTAATATTCTTCCTATAATTTCATACAGACTTAAATTTGTCGACTAGTAGACTCTCTCTCTAAATCAGTAAAAATATTAATGTTTTGAAAAGTTACTTATTTGATTTTTTGAAAATAGCTCATTCAAAGTTCATTTAAATGTGTTAGTTCCTGTATCACATAGGTAAAATAATACCACAGTGGTTCTTCTATTGTTTTCAAAACAGGCTGGTAGCATTTAATAGGCCTATAATGAATTGTGTAGCACTCTTTAATTCATCCACTCAGTAGCTTCAAGCTGAAAATTCCCTTCACAAAGATTATGTTATATTCTCATTTGTATCTACAGCCAGGTGAAGCCATTGAAGTTGACTATTGTACAACGTGTACATGCTTAGAGGATTCGCCTGTCCCAGGGAACTTCTATAGATACGATTGCAATACACTGGGCTGTTCTAACTGTTCTGAGGTAAATTTTTGCAGCAACAACAAACTGATACACTCCCCATTGTTGTTAAAATGGAAAATGCAGCACCTTGCAGATATAGGTTTTAATCTTGATATTTCTGTGGGTTTTATCTCGAATTAAAATTTTTATTGTGAATAATGGCCTGTTTGACCACGTATACCTATGTATAATCAATCAATCAATCACAAAAACTTGCAAAGCACCGTGTATCCATATAATATCTTCAATGGATTGAAGTCAATAAAATAGACTAATAAAAATTGTACGTGAAATATAAAAAAATGTAAGACGGCAACATCTTTTGAAAACAGGAATATAATTATGTCATCACAAACATGCTTTGTCTAGATATGTTGTCTAGTTTTTGCATAATAAAGATAAATAATAAATATTATTATTATTAAATTGGAACGATTTTTGTATTTGTGTATGTTATAATGATCATATTTATGCAAATGATATATATTTATCTTTCTAAAAAGGGTTATGTTTCCGTGCCTAAGGAAGGAGTTTGCTGCGGCGAGTGCAAACAAAAATACTGTATCGATCCTGAAGGCAATTACAAAAGTGTAAGTTTTAGAATATGGCTACCATCGTTGGATAACTTTGCGTATCTATTACTATGTGAACGTATTGTTGATATAATGGTATATTATTGGATAGGCCTTATAGGTGGTCCTCGTCTAACAGCCAATCAAGTAGCATTCACCTTCCTTATAACCCAGTCTCCCCTCCATTCACCATCATCATCATCATGAATGTTGAACATTTTTCTACCTTATAATGATATAATCATGGAAAAAGTTGCTATCATTTTAGACTGGTGACACATGGTCACCAACGCCATGTGACACTTGTACATGTGTTGAAAATGGTGACGAGGTGAAGGAGAGTTGTGTCACTACAGCATGTCCGCCTTTCAATGAATCTGCCTGTATTGAACCAGGGGTAAGAGTGAATACTTTTTATTAAACCATGATTCCCAAGCTGTGGGCAATGGTTCACTGCACTGCGATTTACATAAGTTTCACTAGTGAACCATTGCACACAGCTTGGTTCACTAAAATGAACATGTATTTCTTAAACCACTACTTATGCCTATTTTTATGTATTTGTTTTTTTCAATAACTTTAACATAATATAGTATCACAGATCCTGTATAATATGAAGTGCACAATGCGGCCTGTATGTAGACTATACCTATGGCAACATATGAGCTAAAAAGTTACTGTTGGTTTTTTAATTTCAGTCGGTTATCAAACTGGATCCCTCCGGATGCTGTCACATTTGTGGTGAGTTTTTGCATGGTATTACAACGATACTTCTGTGCAGCTACATGTCTAATGAGTAGTAACTGGGGCTCTAAAATGGGAGTCAGCAACAGGTTCCCACTGGGTTTAACGGGGTCCAGCGTTTCATGTAGTTAGATGCCTAATCCACACGATTGCAACAGTGCGGAAATACAAAATAAGTTAAGCAATGAATTACAATTGGTAAATACATGGTTAATTATTAATAAGTTGTCGCTTAATTATAGTAAAACTTCCTCAATATTATTTGGTTCAAATCGCATGCTTAAAAATCAACCTAGTTTAAGAGTGCACTGTAATGGTAACATTATTGAGAACCATTAGTCAGTTGAATATTTAGGAATTTTACTGAATCATTATCTTAATTGTGAAGAAATTACTTACTCTGTTTTAAAAAAGGTTAATTCTATGGTTAAATTCTTATATCGAATTAGACAATACCTTAACTTTTACACTCTAAAATTGTTAGCCTCCAGTCTTATTCTATGCAATTATGATTACGGATGCAGTTTTTGGTACGCTTGCCTTAGAAAATCGTTAAAAGTAAAGTTATAATCTTCTCAAAATAAAGTTATGAGATGTATTTGTGTCTACTGGGTTATCGGTGCACGGAGCGACGTAATTTCAATCCGCAATGAGAAAAGGGGTCCGGTTGTATATCCACACGAGGAAATGCAATAAATTGAAATAATTACGCCGACCGAAGAACACCAATTGTGGTGTACCTACACCCATTGACACAAAGAGTTTTTCCGCTGATGTCGGAAAATTTATTTGTGTCTACTGGGCTAAGAATTAACTATATGGACCCGCCCACTCTTGACCACCACCCTCAATACACTGTACACAATAAAGTAACACATGATCTGATAACGGTGTGATTCGGTCGTGATTTATTACGACAAAAGGCAAAGGGACCGTCGCACACGATCGGTCACTAAATTAATTCCCATAGTAAAAATTCTTAAAAAGTGGCCAACAAGCCAAGCGGAAGGGTGCTGACCCCGAAAGGAATTATCGGTGCACTGAGCGAGGTAATTTTAATCCGCAACGAGAAAATTGGGGGTCCGGTTATATATCCACACGAGGAAATGCAATAGATTGAAATTATTACGCCGACCGAGTGACACCAATTGGGGTGTACCTACGCCCATTGACACAAAGAGTTTTTCCGCTGATGTCGGAAAATTTATTTTTGGTATATCTCCCAGGGCTCATATTGGTGCCAATGAATTTTCCAAATTAAACTGGCTTCCAATTGACCTTAGAGTGAATCTAATAAAATTGACCAATTTGTATCGCATTTTAAACAATTTAAGCCCAAAATATCTCAGGGAAGGAATACAAAGAGCCAATTCAATACATAATTACAACACTAGATTCTCTAAATTTGCTATATATAGACATGTTATTGGTACCCATGCTCAAACTACATTTCTATCCTCAACAACAATTATTTGGAATTCATTACCAAGTACAATACAACAGTCATCATTAAAAGATAATGTAAAATAATTGGTTAACCAGAGGAAATAATAATGGTAATGGTCGTTGTGTTGAGTGAATATTTTGATTGTTGTTATGAAATCATATCTGGAATTAATTAATTTTTAAGGACCACAATGGAAATAAGTTTTGACTATTGAGTTACTTTATTGTGTTTTTATCCTTGAAATTTTTATGCTATATATGAATTTCGAATAAAATGAAATGAAATGACATAATAATTGTCAAAGGATCATTAAGGGATTCTTTGAGAGTAAACAAAATTACGCCATTCTCAGATTGGGATTTGACTTTTTATCCTCTGCTTAGTATGCAGATGCTTCTACCAACTGCTGTAAGACACATGTGCTTACCTATTCCTGTATATTTGACTATTATGATGATGACTGTCACACTACACATACATGAACACCTACATCCTGTCTCTTATACACATCTAGATGTGTATAAGAGACAGTCCTACAATCATCAACATCATCATAATCATCGACATTATCATCACTACCATCATCACCAGCGATCGCTCCAGAAATCTGTCTCTTATACACATCTAGATGTGTATAAGAGACAGCATATTTACGCCAAGTCGTGTGGCTGCAATGAATGCCTTGACAATGGCGTGGGCTTAGAAAAGTAATTTAACCGGGTTACCGATAATGTTAAAAACTTTAAAATTGATCTTTTATAGACTTAGCTATAATTTTATTACTAAATTATCTTGATTCAAAACAAAAGTGCATCTATAGTGTGGATTTAGAGGCCACTCACACTGCTATCCAAAACATCAATAATTAAACAATCAATTCATGAAATTGTTAGGAATGATAGTGCAGGTAATGTACATTCAAGTATTTGTTCTCAATAAAATAAGATTAACTTATTTATATCTAGAATTCTGGAATTGGCCTGTGATTTTCCGTCCTCTATTGAAATAATTATTTTGAAGCTTAACTTCTTTCAACGTTAATAAGCATGTAATTCTGTCTGGTTATAAAGAGATTGTAATAAAGCACAGTAGTAAACTGCAATAGTGGTTGTGTATTTATTTATTTATGGTAAATGATAAATAGTAATAAAACAGTAATGGGATATAGTTGGTTTCACGTGTGTCTCACAAATAGATAATTTCAGATACAACACTTTAACGATTGCATACGTTAACATTATAAAGACAAACTTTATTTCAGACAAATATTTCGGACACCCAGCGCTTGCCGTTGATTGAGAAATACAAGCAGATCTGATAATGCTAATGAGATAGAATCCAAAAACAATAAGCACGTATTCGGTGGCGTAACACCCATTAGCTATCGGGGGTGCAGCCTTGGTCCCCACTCAAAAGGGCCCTGGGCCCTCCTACTACTACTTAGCACTTTACTACCGAGCCTTAACAGTGGCGTAACGCATGTGCTTTTCAGTTCAAGTCCAGTACTACAACGTCTTGACAACACGTTATCTTTTTCTAAAATTTTCAAAACACGTCAAAATAGACCAAAATCCGACCAACATACTCTTTGGTAGATTTATTAGAAGGTTCCCCTCCTTCACGACCCCATTTTATTATAGAGCTTTAACCAGTTATGTAACGCCTGTGTGCTTTATGGGACACGCCCAGTTCCAAGTCCAAATGGAGCCATTGGATCCCTTCTTACTGTTACCCAGCACTCTAAAATGACGCTTTTTACAATACAGTATATTTTTCTTTTAATTTTCAAAAGTGTATGGGGACCTGGCCGGCTACATCTCCACAGCCTATAGTTGTTTTAGTTTACTATTAATTAATTAGTTTACTAAACAATGATATTGCATGTGCTGTGTAATTACTAAAAGTCATAGCTTTAACTGCCATCTTCTAAGTTAAATAAATACAGTTTAAATAAGAGTAGAAGGCACCGCCCCATACTTCAAGACCATACGTCATATGAGATCGAATAAATGTCTTGTATGATTATATTTTGTGGAATATACAGTGTTACGTTACGGCTCAGAATAACTAAACAGAGAAGAGATCACAACTTTTGTGTATTTACAAAATATATATAATTTATTTACAATGCCATTATAATACGGTAATTAAACAAAGATAGAAATTAAATATATAAATGAGCTTAGAGGATGGTGGTGGCTAGAACCTTAAGCAGCAACTTAAGTACTTTACTTACTAATCAGAGAGGAACTGAAGCCGGACAAAATAACAGGGTTCCAGGTAATAAAGATGTCTTGAGTTGTCTGCACTGGATCCCAAATTACAACTGAATTACTTAGGGTAGTAAGATCATTTAAGATGGGTGTGACACTTTGCATATTAAGGGTCTCATCCAATCAGGGAACCAATTCCAACAAGTTTAGCAAACTAATCCACCAATTAAAAGCTACAGTAATGTGTCCGATAAACATATACATAATTAAGGTAATAAATAATTGGTTTGGACCAACTGAAAGTAAATGTCCAAGATGTGAAACCACATTCAAGTCTTGGAGATTCCAAGCTCAGTTCATTTACCTTGCGTTAATTAAATACTGACCACGGGTAAAGGAACTTGTGTGTCATAGGACAATAGCATACTGTAATAATATTTGAGCTTTACAAATAAAACAATTTAAAATAAGGAAATAGTACTTTCCTAGAAAATGTTGAGTAAAACTTAAGGTCATAAAAATGCTAACTACAAAATATTATATTATATATAATTATATAAATAAGTTAATAAAAAAATAGGCAAGGATGTAACATTAGTCCAAGTTGAAATAAAAATAATGCTAATTTTTGTCTAAAAATAATATTACTGTAACGTGTTCAATACGATTTTTTTAATTTAAATTTTTATTAGGAGGGTCCCTCAGGGGCCTCTGAGTAGGGCACATGGCTGTGCCCTCGGGAGCTCATGGGCGTTATTCCCTTGTCGAGTTCCTCTCGGCTTCAGCACTGAAACTGCAATTTTGGGGGATAATGTGTTGTTTATCTGACCCCCATGGAGAATACTCCTAAATGTTTTAGGCCTATATCCAGTGGCGTATCTAGGAGTCTTGAAATAAGGGGGAAGGGCTTATGGGGAGGGGAGGACGTATGTCATGTGAGTTGGCCCTTGATGATTATGTGAGGGACGCTAGCTCGCAAAATAAGTTAATTTTAGGTGATTTTTAAATACTTGAGCTTTATTTTTAGGGGGCGACTGTGGGAGCGCGAGTATTTTTGGGGGGCGTGCCGCCCGATGTGATCAACTTGTGAAAATATTGCATCTGTAGATGCTCGGAAATAGCAGTTGGCTTCTTGCAAATCAGCTACCCTTATTTCAACCCTTGTCCTAATCCCATGCCGAGGCAGAGATTTACAGTGGAAAGTGAACTAGATACCATACCCAACTCAGGATCACCATGTTTCAAACAGTGGCTCCTCTGCCGGAAAATAGCACATGCATACTTTTAAAAAAATGAATGAACTCTAAAAGGGTATATATTTTGATTGCAAATAATTAGGACCGGCTTAACCATTATACCTTTTTTTCATGCAGACAGTTAGGCTAGGCCGGCTCCCACCCCAAATAGTTAAATGTCTTTTTATTTATACCTCTAAAAATATTCAAAAATCAATCTAAATTAATAAAATTAAGGATTAAAAAAAAAATTTTAAATGAAAATGCAATATAAAAACAAGCGCATGGTGGATTAAAACACATCAAAAAGAAAATATGATGTGAACATTAATTATTAAACTATGTAATAGGCCTGAGAAAATGTGGTCCGGCCAAAGCCGGCGCGGCTCCGACGGCCCTGAATGAAACGGGTGGTATTTGGGAGGATGAATCGCTCGATTGTCAGTTCAGGAAGCTTTTGGGCTCACTGTTGTATTATTGTGTAACGGTAGCTGCCTGGAAGGACCTTCCGGAACACTATGTTTTAGACGTTTCGTTTGTCATACTTTGTACGCTGAACGTCATTATTACATCACTTCATGTTTTTGAAGAATTAAAAGTTACATAACAGCCTATACTGATCCCTTTGGTAGTCGTTTCCTTTTAAAAAGGCGATTGTCATCCTACAATCATCAACATCATCATAATCATCGACATTATCATCACTTCCATCATCACCAGCGATCGCTCCAGAAATTGACCGACTCGGTCCGAATCCCGGATTATAAAAAGTCCATGATAGGGTTCACAGGGAGAGTTTTTATGGCTTAGTAGGCTTACAGTCCAAATTGTCCTTTTAAACCACAATGTTAGGGATTGACAATAAAAATAACGTTATTTGGATAGGAAAAATATAATTTTCTTATATTTGTCGTCGAAAGACAGGCCTGTCTGACGGGGGTTCCCCTTTCTCTAACCTTCGCTGGCGCCATCACTTATTATCACCATCCTCATTATCATAAAAGAATGACGCTTTAAAAAAAGAATAATGAGTTGTTTTTTATACCTCTCCAGGTGGCGTTTTACATATAAACAATACTGTAAATGGAGTTGAACGTCTACGAAAGAGACTTTACATTTAAAAAATGTGAGTACAATATTGAACATTTTCCATCGTTAATTCAACAGTTAAATGTGAATTCTGTCAACATACCATGGTTATTGATTTGACTAAGTTTGTTAGGCATTGAAACCATTGACAAATTCCTCGATAGAGACATGCACGGACATGGCTATATTCTATTCAACTACAAAATACATTTCAAGATCAACTCGCTAACGATCGAAAACCTGAAACTGGCTAATTAAATAATAAATGCTATTTACAGCCTGGGGCTTGTTAAATTCCGTTCGTCGTTTACATTGTATAGCTAGATTTGTATCTGTTTTTTGTTTTTGTTTTTTTTAATTTGCCATTATATGAAATTATTACCAAGAATCTTGTCATTATCTGGTGCACAACTTTTAATCATGAATAATCGATTTGTTATATCCGATAAAAACATTTTCTATATTATATTTAAGGACAACTAAAGTGATCGAGTTAGACCTAGATGGCACCGTATTTATCAATATTAATATCGTCGTGAATATGTACCTCCATGATGTTGATATCAAAATAGCTACCAATGGCGGATCCAGGAATTCGAAATAGAGGGTCTCAGGGAGGTACTTTTGCAAATGAATTTCTGATTATGGCACTTCTATACCTCCATGCTCTATATGGCCGGAAATGATTTAAATTTGAATACAAATCTCCTTGTTCCATTTTGAATTATTTGGCGGTGGGGTGCATCTGCACACACAAGCGCCGTTATCCGTTTATGAGAAAACGCTCATGGCACTCCTCCAAAACAAAGTCGAAACATGAAAAAAAGAAAATTGAGGAAACCGTTTACAAACCAGAAAAAAGTTTATATTATATGATCCGTACATGAGTGAGCGTCACTATTTCCATCATCATCATCATCATCATCATCATCATCATCATCACTAGTGGTGGTTCCAGGAATTTGCCGACAAGGGGTCCGATATGTCCAGTGGAGGGTGGGGGTGGTGGTGGGTGGTTCTTAACCAAGAGGCCTACTGGAGCCTCGGTCCGAGGACCGAAATGAGAAATCCCTGGTGGGATTCACCGGAAGAGTATTAATGGCTTAGTATGCTCCGAATTGTGCTTTTAGACCACAATATTATTAGGCCTATAATTTACAATCAAAATAACATTATTTGGATAGGCCAAATATAATTTGGGATCCAGACCTGTATGGGGTGGGGGGGGATGCCATCCCTGCCCCCTCCTGCTGGTGCCACCACCACTGATCCTCACAATAATCATTATTATCATCATAAAGGATTTGTGCTTTAGGAATTAATAATGAGTTGTTTTCATATGCTTCTCCAGGTGATAGTACTGTGAAATGGAGTTGAAACTCTACGAAGGAGACTTTACAATTCATATGTGAGTACAGTATTGAACATTTTGCATCATTAATTCAATAGTTATAGGGGAATTCTGCCAAAATACTAAAGTTATTATTTTGACTAAGTTTGTTAAGCATTGAAGGTTTAGACAATTTTCGAGAGCCCGAGTTACCTTAAATTATAAACAAGCATCGACCCCCCTGGTCGGACTCCATGACAAAAAAATATTAATTTGTTGATCCAATTGTGGTCAAAAAGCACATGGGTGATCCTAATCCGTAAAATTTCTCCCCATGAACCCCACCCCTGGGATTTTATTCCGGGACCTTGACCGAGGCTCTAGGCAGCCCCTTGTTTCAGACCCCGGTCAGAATTGTTTTACCCCCGCCGGCATTCTTCTCCTTTTGCCTGATTTACGGACATGTACTACAAAAATTCTTAAATTGACACTACCAGCCAATTTAAGTGTCTATGTATATATAAGAATATAGCAAATTTGTTATTTAACTGTCTGTTAATTGACAGGAAAACAAATTGTCACATTGGAAATGGGCGTTCCTAATGCTCATCAAATTTTAATTGTCCACAATTCATTTTTTTATCTTGCTTGTGCATGTTGAGCATCGAATAAATTAAATCAATCAGTCAACAAATATCATTTCATGAAAAATGTTTGTATGAAGATATAGTTATTTATTTATGTTTATATCAAATGTTTGAACATATCTGTGTTTATGAATCTATATTTTTATTTCCATCGAATAGTACACTTTTATAGATTTTATTTACCAATGAAAATCGAATGCTAACATATTTTGCTCATCACGCTACAGTAGGCCTTCCTAATACCATGTATACTCATTCATTTTGATGATACTATAATAATTAATATTCTATATGATAATGCTGACATGATAAGAAGTGTGAAGTACTATTTTGTGGTATCATCAGCAGCCTTGTCCATACATTTCGATAACTGAATACGATAATTTTCAGGTGGGGTGCGCTCTAATTTGTATTTAATATTATATTATGTTTTGATACTTAGTTATAACCCTTTCTCTGTTTCTAAATCTGTTCTTAATATTTTTTATTCCGGTAAGGAAGACAAAGAATCCTCAAATATCAAGAAAGGATGTCTGGACTCGATCGTGAAAGGGCAACAGAACTTATAGTACCAACTACTATAGATAGACAAAAATGTTACCACTCATCAAGGTTCCTGTACAAATTCTGGATATGAAATTAATTAAAATATATTGTAATTTTTAAAAAATATTAGCAATATTTATGAATTTGTGTCTTATAATAGAAAAATAACCCGTAATATTTCTCTAACGAATATAGACATATGTAAA